ATCAATATGCAGTTATTTTCGTGTCAAATTAATACAGGGGCACTCGTTAGTGATTTGCCTTCCTTAGGTAGCGGTTGGGCAATATTAGGACCATAAAAATCCCCGGCAATTTCCGAAACGGAAATCTCATTTTATGTGTCCCACTCTCTAACCAATTAGATTTCAAAATAATTACCTGCACTGTCACCTTTTCGCGACTCAAAGCACTCAAAACGACTCGGTCAGCAGTATCGTCTTGCGAATGTAAGAACCTCACGGTCTCGCTCGCGTCAACAACGATAGTGCGGAATATAACTTGTTCGATTATTTTTGTTTATTCGTGACACCCCACAAAATGTCAAATCTTGAGGAATATTTCACAAGGGACGACAGTGAAATAGAATATAGCGAATCGCTATCATCAGACATTGAATCAGAAGATTAATTGTTTAACCTTCTGCAAAAGAATCGCTATAATTTATTACTGTTTGCGCCTCGAATAGTCACTTCGGTGTGGCAAAAAAAGTATTCCGCCCCCGGCGATGGTCAGCGATAGCCGCGCTCCGTCCCTACGAACCGTTTCGGCCAGGAGTATTCAGAGCTCAAAAGGTTAACGTAGTTTAAAGGTAGTGGATTCTGTTCGAGAAAGGTTGTCCGAGCCGCGCGACGACCAAATAAATCCCCGAAAGAACCGAAACGCGGCCGATATTTGTGGAAAACCCGCGAGCACGCGGCCGAACGGCCGCGACGGAGGTACGTACTCCGCGAAACTTCAGGAAACTCCGGTCCTCCATTGATTCGCACTCATCCATTTTCGTCGGTTGCCGATACTCCCGTCGTTGAATGGTGCTCCGCCTAACTGACGTTCATGAAAAGAGGCGGCCACAATCAGTTTCGGATTTCTAGGTCGGCGAAGCAGCCGTCTCGCGGCGTGAAAGCCCGTAAGGTGTTCGGTTTATTCTTGTAGCTCGTCTGTGTGCGCCCGGACGGTCCCTGTGTATATTATCGCCGCGATCTGGCAGGTTTATCGGCTGATAACGGGACAGTATCGTACCATTCCCGATTCCCGCCCCAACCGTGTCCCGTGAATCGAACGATGCCGGGCGACGCGGTCATAAATCCGACA